CCATGACAGCTGGAAGTAATTCTAAAAGACTACATCCCCTCTCCCAACAAAGTTTGTCCTAGGGTTAGGGACATCATTTAGGGGTTGATTTTAATTGGTATAGGGTTGCGGGTTAAAAGAGAAATTTTATGGGCTCAGGGATTTCTTTTTTTTTCTTCTTAAATTTTATGTATGTATGTATGTATGTATGTATGTATGTATGTATGTATGTATGTATGTATGTATACAGTATTCTGCCTGCATATATACTTGCGGGCCAGAAGAGGACACCAGATCTCATTACAGATGGTTGTGAGCCACCATGTGGTTACTGAGAATTGAACTCATGACCTTTGGAAGAGCAGGCTCTTAACCACTGAACCATTTCTCCAGTCCCAGGGATTTCTTTGAAAAAAAGGGAAAATTGGATGGAATAATAGATCAGTGTGATTTTACATACATGAATAATAATAGTAAGTCATAGAGTGAATGCTTGTGAGTTATAATTTATAGGCAATTGCTTTGATATACATTTTTGTATATTGATATAATGTTAAATATTGAAGATTGTATACATTCATGTTTCTACCAATGCCTAAAACATTTTATATATTGACAAATATATTTATCAAATTGCAATGTACATTTCTTCCACTGATCAAGATACTTATTCATTGGTTACATTTTCAGCCCATTGTCCTCATTTGTTGTACAGTTGTTTATTATACAATATTCTAATATGAAGTCTTAGTCTTTAAGTTATATAGGTATTAGAATTATAGATCAATAGTCATCTATGTTTGTCATACTTATAGTTAGAATAATCAGGTTTTTCACACACATAAAGAATATATTTTGCATAGATAGGTAATCTTCAGCCACTTCAAAGAGCTGTAAAATATGGAATTTAAATAATCTAGGGTCCTGTTGAAGTGAGACACGATTACTACTGGTAGCATTGATCTATTTTCCGGAGAATGTTGAGCACCAAAGACACTTGGAGCTTGTTTTCTTGTTGTCAAAACTGGTCTTTGGGCAAAGACATGCTCATGCCTCAACCTCTGAGAAAATACATGGTATCCAAAAATGGATAAGCAGTTCTGTTAAATCTTGACTGGCATTCATCTCAGAGACAAATATACCCACCTCTGTTTGCTGAGTATTGTGGTAAAGGCAAAATACACCAATATGCCAAGTTTGTCCATCATTTTTTTTCCTTTCTGTAGGTATTAATTTTCTCATGCATATAATATACTGTTGATCTTTTCTCTTTTTCTCTCCCTGTGAATAGATACTGTTCTTATAAGGTGGTATCCTATACAAAGGACACAGAAATAACAGAATTGATTCTCCTTTTCAATTTCCTTCTAAAGTAACTGTCTATGTCATGGAACAAAAATGTGGAACACCAGAATCATAAAACTATACTTTTTTATATCAAAGAAGTATGCAGTTCACTGTCATACTTACATTGTACTCATGTATGATATATTTTTGAAGGCAGTGACCTATGATGATGTGCACATCAACTTCACTAAGGAAGAGTGGGATTTACTGAATCCTTCCCAGAAGAATCTCTACAAGGATGTGATGCTGGAAACCTACAGGAACCTAACTACTATAGGTGAAAATAAATTTCTTTCATGTTTCAAAAGATAGAGACAACTTTTCCTTGGTTTATGATTTTGTTCTATAATTTGTTTTAGAGAAAGAAGAATGAGGTGAATAACACAGTCACAGTTCTTAGGTGCACTTAAGATAATAAGCTAATTGTTGCACATTCTTAAAGAATATAACATCTATTCTGGTACTGTATTTTAGGATACACTTGGGAAGACCTTAACACCGAAGAGCATTGTCAATGTTCTAGAAGACATGCAAGGTAATTTTCTTGGGCAAGTTCATAACAGTTTCCCTTGAATAGTTTGTAATGTGTTCTGGAACTTTAAAACAAAAGCAACAGTGTAAATAAGCACAGCTATTATTGTATTGATGGTTATTAAGTTCTCACAAATCCATATACCTCAATTTCATGTATGTGAATCGCATCTGCAAAGCCTTCATTTAAGAAAAAAGTCTAGGTAGCAATGCCTAAACAGATATCTCCATTTGATTCATAGTACCATAGAGCTATGTTGTAGAACTACTGCTTCATTTGCTTCTTCATGATAGAAAATGTACACATATTTCAGTGATGCTGAGTATAGCTGCAAAACTTTCTACTAATACAATAGCCCATGGTAAGCCTTGTATCCCTCATAGACTTTTTGTGACTGTGCTAAGTTTAGTAAATCAGATTAGTCAAGGGTCAAGGGGCAGTTGTTGTGGAGAAACCTTAATATCTATACCATAAGTCTGTGAAAGTCGAACTTTGTGGATTCATTGTGGAAATCTTTTATACACTATTATTTTTTCATATTTATATGACATGTCTCTCTTGACACAAGTGTCAGGAATATGGAAAGATTTAGCATACTTCTCCTTAAGAACAATTAAGAAGATAAACTGTAGTTCCTATGTAGAGTGTACATGTTTAATTTCATCCAAAAATAGAAAGTTAATTTATTTTCTATCATCATGGTTAATACATAAATACAAACTCACATTAAAACAAAAAGAAACAAACAAACATGAGTTCTAGGTCTATGCAAATACTTCTGGGTGTCTTAGTTCACTTACCAAATGTATAATGATTCACAATATAGTAAAATTATGAATGGAGTAAAGTTGGCAAAGCACTCAGTATATGCAGTTCTCTTCAAAAATATAAAAAATATCCTAGAAAAATATAGGTATAATTATAGATGAAAAGATAAACCATGACACAATGGAATTTATCATCACAAATATTTTTCTAGATGTAAAACGACCCCGAACAAGAGAACAAAACATGATTTTAAACAAAGCTATAAAACCTTGATATTTGATTCCTTTTTATAATTTGAAAAAATATGAAATTAGTTCATGTAGGTATGAGGTTCACCTGCATTGAATGTGGTAAAGCTTTTACATGTGTAAATTATCCTTGCAGGATTGAAAGAAATCAAATTGGAGAGAAGTTTTCAGTATATTCACCCTGTGGTAAAGTCTTGTCTTATAACACTCATCTTCTAAGGAATGAAAAAACACATAGCGGAGAAAAATGCTGTGAAATTAAGCAATGTGACGCAGTCTTTTCTTATCACAATCATCTTGAAATGCATAAAAGAACACATACTGGAGAGAAACCATATGAATGTAATCAGTGTGGTAAGGCCTTTGCACAACACAGTCATCTTCAAATGCATAAAAGAACACATACTGGAGAGAAACCCTATGAATGTAATCAGTGTGGTAAGGCCTTTGCACGTCACAGTGATCTTCAAATGCATAAAAGAACACATACTGGAGAGAAACCCTATGAATGTAATCAGTGTGGTAAGGCCTTTGCACGTCACAGTGATCTTCAAATGCATAAAAGAACACATACTGGAGAGAAACCCTATGAATGTAATCAGTGTGGTAAGGCCTTTGCACGTCACAGTCATCTTCAAATGCATAAAAGAACACATACTGGAGAGAAACCCTATGAATGTAATCAGTGTGGTAAGGCCTTTGCACGTCACAGTCATCTTCAAATGCATAAAAGAACACATACTGGAGAGAAACCCTATGAATGTAATCAGTGTGGTAAGGCCTTTGCACGTCACAGTCATCTTCAAATGCATAAAAGAACACATACTGGAGAGAAACCCTATGAATGTAATCAGTGTGGTAAGGCCTTTGCACGTCACAGTCATCTTCAAATGCATAAAAGAACACATACTGGAGAGAAACCCTATGAATGTAATCAGTGTGGTAAGGCCTTTGCACGTCACAGTCATCTTCAAATGCATAAAAGAACACATACTGGAGAGAAACCCTATGAATGTAATCAGTGTGGTAAGGCCTTTGCACGTCACAGTCATCTTCAAATGCATAAAAGAACACATACTGGAGAGAAACCCTATGAATGTAATCAGTGTGGTAAGGCCTTTGCACGTCACAGTCATCTTCAAATGCATAAAAGAACACATACTGGAGAGAAACCCTATGAATGTAATCAGTGTGGTAAGGCCTTTGCACGTCACAGTCATCTTCAAATGCATAAAAGAACACATACTGGAGAGAAACCCTATGAATGTAATCAGTGTGGTAAGGCCTTTGCACGTCACAGTCATCTTCAAATGCATAAAAGAACACATACTGGAGAGAAACCCTATGAATGTAATCAGTGTGGTAAGGCCTTTGCACATCACAGTCATCTTCAAATGCATAAAAGAACACATACTGGAGAGAAACCCTATGAATGTAATCAGTGTGGTAAGGCCTTTGCACAACACAGTCATCTTCAAATCCATAAAAGAACACATACTGGAGAGAAACCCTATGAATGTAATTAGTGTGGTAAGGCCTTTGCAGCTCAGAGTAGTCTTCAAAATCCTAAAAGAACACATACTGGAGAGAAACCCTATAAATGTAATCAGTGTGGTAAGGCCTTTGCTCAACATGGTGCTCTTCAAATGCATAGAACACATAATTGAGAAAAACCATATTAATGATATCTGTGTGATAAGGCCTTTGCAGACCCCTGTACTCTTAAAAGCATTAAAATGTAACATCCTCTAGAGATACCAGTGAATGGAATGTGGTAAATTCTTTTTCACAATCATCTCCAAATACATAATATGAGGCCTTTTTTAGAGAAACCCTGAAGTTAATTTGTGTATTTTTCAAAAACATAAGAAAATCATACTGTAGTGAAACTTTATAAATGAATTCAGTGTCATAATGTTTTGTGCTTCATATAGGAGTAAGACTTTGTGTGTAGTCATCTGAGAAAGCTTGTGCATGTTATCATAATCTTTTGGACCCGAGGAATCTTTGAAGAAGACACCAGAGAATGGGAAGATGTCCCTTGCCCTTGTTAGGTAGAAAGCAACATAGTAAAAGTGAAAACCTTTCCAAAAGCAATCTACAGGCTCAATAACATTCACATGTAAATATCAGAAAAATCTTCACAGATCTCAAAATAAAAACACTCAACTTCATATAGAAAAGCCAAAAAAATGCAAGATAGTCAAAACAGTCCTATATAAAAAATAATTTCTGGAGGCATCACATTCCCTGACTTCTTCAGACGACTACAGAGCTACAGTACTGAAGAGATCCTGGTGTTGGCAAAAAAACAGATAGGAGGACTAATGGAACTGATTCTAAGACCCAGATATCAATCCACTCACCTACTACACCTTTTTTTTTTTTTCGAGACAGGGTTTCTCTGTGGTTTTGGAGCCTGTCCTGGAACTAGCTCTTGTAGACCAGGCTGGTCTCGAACTCACAGAGATCCGCCTGCCTCTGCCTCCCGAGTGCTGGGATTAAATGCATGCGCCACCACCTCCTGGCTTTTGACAAAGCACCAAAAAAATATAAAATGGAGAAAACATATTTAACAAATGGTGCTGGCATAACTGAATATCAATGTGGGGAAGAATGAAAGTAGACCCACATCTATCATCATGAACAAAACTCAAGTCCCAATGGATCAAAGACTACAACATAAAGACAAACACACTGAACTACATAAAACAGAATATTGGAAGTACACTTGAACACATTGGAAAATTGGACCACTTTCAAATTATAACCCCAGGTATCACAGACACTGAGAAAAATAATAAATGAGATCTCCTGAAGCAAAAGTTTCTGTAAAACAAAGGACATCACCAACAATACAAAAAGGCAGCCTGTAGTATGGGAAAAGATATTCACCTACCCCACATTGGACAGAAGACTGATCTTCAAAACATACAAAGAACTTAAGTAATTGGTCATTAAAAGAACAAATAATCTAATAAAAAATGGAGTACAGACCTAAATAAAAACATTTTAACATATGAATCTAAAATGACTGAGAGATACTTAAGGAAATTTCCAAACTCCTTAGTCATTAGAGAAATGAAAATCAAAACAACTCTGAGATTCCCTCTCACATCTGTAACAATAGGCAAGATCAAAACACTGATGACAACTTAAGCTGGAGAGGATGTGGAGATAAGGGAACACAACTCCATTGCTGATGGGGTTATAAACTGAGTCAGCTACTTTGAATATCAGTATGGTTATTCCTTAGAACATTAGAAGGCCACCTGCCTGCTTGTGAGACAATGGAGTACTACACAGTGGATAAAAACAATTACATCTTGAAATTTATGTGCAAATTTATGGATCTAGAAAACATCTTAAAAGAGTGAGTTAACCCAGAACCAGAAAGAAAAATATATGTACTCACTCCTAAGTGGCTTTTAGATATAAAACAGAGGACAGTCAGCCTACAATTCACAATGCCCAGAATATATACAACAAAGAGGAAACAAAGAGAAACATACATAAATCTATATAGGACATAGAGAAAGACAAGATCTTAGTAAATTTGGAACATGTGAATCATGGGAGAAGGGGAGGGGGGAGGAAGGCTGAGTAGTGGATAAATATATAGTTGAATAAAAACAATTAAAAAATCCTTGATACCTAGCTGTTTCTGGGTGAATTATACAAACTGATAGTATAAAATGAACAGCTGAAATATGGAGTTTTGCTTAATTTTGTACTTGAATAAAATACTTCCTCTTGCTAAGGCAGACTGATTTATGATATTTAATTAAAAACAATCTACACATTTTTCCAAAAGAAAATTAAAGATTTGTACCATATCTCCCCATCTTCCCAAACCTATAATCACACATATAAACACATGAGACAGAAGTGCTTGATTTTACTTAATATAGCTGCATTCATTCTAAGTTCTTCATGTAACACTGAGTTCATGTTTTAATGATGAATTTTGAAGACTGTACAAGTCAGAGTGACAGACCCTGAACTATGTGAATACTAATTGAATCTTTGACATTTAAAAACACCAAGTTAGAGTGTAAGAGTATCTTGGGCTTTTATAAGTCAGATGAGCACCTACAGAGCAATGGATCTTATATACAATATAGCTAGCATCCAGAATGAATAGCTGGATTCAAGAAAGCAACCACACACTTTACAGATTCATTTATACTTTAAGAGACCATGCCCAAGTGGATTGATATCTTAAAGCTATTGACTGAAGGAGTTCTCACAGCATCTATCCATTTAAATTAATAAGAAATTCCATACCCTATACCAAACTATGTACACAAGAAACAGATGTCAAAATAAAGTTAGAATTACAATAAGCATAATCAATATTAAGGAAGGAATACATCCTAATGGTTTGATAAGCATTCTATCCTAAGGAGTCCATGTTGTAGTAGAAATGGCTTAACTAGATCATAAGAGGATGGTAAGTATGATTATCTCATCTTCAACTCCATTAAAGGCCTGAGAAGAGCAATAATATTACTTGAGTAGGCAGGTAGTGCAGTCTAACAGCTTCCAAAAAGTGTAGTAGATGACAGAGACAACTGACTGAGCAATCAACCAAAGTCTCATCACAGTGTTGAAGAATAAGACTTCATATCAGAATATAAAACAATCTTTAAACAACTATGTAGTAAAGCAGGACAATGACCTCAAAAGGTAAACAATGTATAAAAATTGTGATCAGCGGTAGAGTTATATAATGCAAAAGACAAATATATCATAAAATTGTGTCAATAAAAATATGTTTTAAACAGAGGTAGAATCATGCATTTATACAATCTGACAAAATAACCTTGTATAGTTGTTACAAATATTCTAAATAAAATTAGAAACATTCTATATAATAAATATAATTTGAATTTGTGTCAATATACAAAAGTCTATACCAATGTAAATCCATAAATAATAGTTCACAACTATTCCTTCTATTACAAACTGTTATTAGTGTGAGTAAGTCATTTATCTATTATCCAATTCCATTTTCCCTCTTTTTGAGATCTCTGGGTGTACATAATTTCACACAACCCTATATGAGTAATAATCAACTCTTCAATGTTGTCCCTGACCGTGAAGGCAAACTTTGTTGGGAGAGAGAATGGCATCTTCTAGAATTGCTTCCACATGTCATGGGGGCGATGTTCTTTCTATGGGATATTATAAAGGTAAAATGATGGTTAAATTTCAAGATTGCTGTTTTGGATAATTGAAAATGGTTTCTGAGTATTCAATAGCGTCCTTCTGAAGTTCTTACTTGGAATTCTGGCCAGAACATTGTAAGAAGGTGCCTCATATCTGCAGCTTGTACACATAAATCAGTCTCATAATGCTATCAGCATCATGCCGTCATATCAACCAGGCAGAGTCATTGTGGGGCCCCAATGTCTTTTTGTTGGAAGCTGTTCTTTGTTGAAAATGTAAGCATTATTCATGTAGACATATTTTCAGTGAAAGATTAGATATAGACAAAATAGGCATGAAGGAAAGTAAAATGTTGTTTTAAAAATGATCTTTCTGCACCATACCAGAAGGCTGTTGACATGAGAAAGAGTTTTGAATTTTTCTTTTAACATCATGCTTGGATTTAGAGAAGGATAGACATTGTCTAATTCTAAAACCATTTCTGATTCTGAAGTAGAGATGTAAACACAAAAAGACATCTTCTAAAGCTGTAGCCAACAAAGCACCTAACAGATTATCTCTCTGGGGGTGTACCTCCTCACAGGTTTAGAGGTCAGTATCTGCCCCCTTCCTGAGATACAAAGCATACAGAACCAGAAGAGACAGATCAGCTACTATAGGTGAGGGAAAAATGAAAAATATTCCATATAGTGAGAACAGTGTAAGCCATGGCTTAGAGGCTGCAGCAAAGTCAGCAGGACCTTTAGAGCCATTCATCCCTGTGCCATCAGAGCAGCAACAGCACACATCTGCCCTAAGCCAGAAACTGGAAGAAAAACACACTGTGTTTTGACAGTCTTCCAAGTAATTCCAGTGTGTGTTTAAGTTTTAGGACCTCTGATCCAGGCTACCAGCTCTCAAATGCTGTTTGCAGGTCATTTCTCTGTGATAGGATAGAAGTTGAAGTGGATGTAAGTTCAGATAAGTTTGGAAGTGCATAGTCTACATTGCTTTTGGAGAGCTTCCAATAAACATTATCCATTGAAACGTTTTAAGAAGTCCTACAATAAAGACCTTTATTTCTCATTCAGCTGTGGCTCTCTGTGATTCTGCCTATTCATACTTCCATAAATACCCTCTTAGGGAAATTATCCTCACTATTCACATGGATGCGATGTAACCTAGAGAAGATGAGGAGACTGTCCCCAAGTCACAGAATGTATATCCATGTTGGAAAAGACCTTAAACATTTTTGTGTTCTCAATACACTGCATTCTCTGTCCTTCTACTCTACTGTGTATCCAGGCATAACTCTGCATTATGTAGCCCAGAATCAGGACAAAAGTCTCTGCATTTACCTTGAAGGAATTTTCTGACTACTCATCCCTGGAAGACCTATTCGTTTTTTTTTTTTTATTGAGGATAGGAAAAAAAAAGTTTCCACCTCCTCCCAGCCTCCCATTTCCCTCCCCCTCCTCCC